TAGCTTTACAGTATAAACGAGAAACTAAATTCTCCACTGCAAAACGTATACGTACCTATATATGCTCAAGATTTTGACAATGAGACTCATTCATGCAGAAGAAGACACTTTCCAGGTGAATATTTCCTTGTTCTGGCGTCACACACTGAGTAATGTAATTAAAGAGCGTTTATGAAATATTCGGGACTGTGCTGCTGGGAGCCCTGAACAGAGGGGAAAGTGGGATTGTGTGTGTTTGGGGTGGCCCTAGGTGAGCGAGGTGATCTGCAGGCCAAGTGAGAGGTGAGGTTCTGAAAATGCAAGCTTTTCCCAAGACAGAGTTTAGGGTGTGAAGGCAGTGACACGCGTGCAGTTTTGTCTCAAATAATGATTGCGGTGAGGTTGCAAAGGTTATTATTTCTGGATATTTTTGGTAGTCGGTGCTGTGCTGCTAACAGCCCCTCCAGGATCGAGCCTGCCTCCAGATATCAATTAGAAAGGGAGCGAAGCGGGCTCTGGAGAGAAAGCGGGGCAGCGGCCGGCCCAGCCCGGGCTGCCGGGGCTGGAGCCGCCGGGTCCCGGAGCACCTCCGTTCTGCTCTGCCCGTGGGAACACGGAGGTCCCTCGCGTAGGGAAATGCCTCGCAGGAAAATGCCTCCGTCTCAGCCTTTTAATACATTAAATCTGATTAATTTTCATTGAGGCTAGAATATTTTATTTCCCGCAGAACTTTTCGTTAATTCTCGTGAGCGCCGTGGTGCGGGACAGACCCGCGCGTGCCGCGTTTCCATAGACCCTCCTATTCCTGTGTTTGTTACGGGGATAAATAGTCCACGATCTTAAGGACTAGTAGTACTTGAGAAAATAAAAAAGGAAGAAACTAGGAATACTTGACACGGTAGCATGCTGACTGCTCTGTCCCGGATGCTTTGGTGGCTGTGCCGAGGAAGGAAGGGTGCTGCGAGGACGGAGGGCGGACCGAGAGCGCCCGGTCCTTCCCGGCTCCCGGAGCCCTGCGGCGCCGCGGGTCCCGCTCCTCAGGGAAGAAGGCTCGCCCGGGAGCCTTTTACATCCGTGTCGCTGCTACGTGAGCCAAAAGACTGCGCGTTAATGTGGGTATGGCCGCAGTGCGCCCGGGCTAGAGCGGGGGGTCCTCAGGCGGCACCAGCCGTGTGTCCGACCCCGGAGCGGAGCAGGAACCGGAGGAACGACAACGGGGCTGTGTCGCCTGTCGCTGTCCGCAACTTGGTGAGGGTGGTGGGAGCCCTGCCCCAGTGCCTGCAGGCGGCGGCTGTGCTGGCCGAACGGGAGCGGGGCTCTCCGAGCCAGGGTCATCCCGGCGCTCCCCGCCGGAGACATGTTTTCTCTCTCTCTCTCTCAAAAAAAAAAAAAAAAAAAAAAAAAAAAAAAAAAAAAAAAAAAAAAAAAAAAAAATTTTTGG